ACGAATTACCAAAAAATCAAACTCGCCTTGTAACCTCATTGAACATGAAAGGTCTGTGAGAAACATTAACAAACATTTTCTCTGTTAAGAGAGGACTATTACAAATTTTTATACCTTGAAAATTTTAATTTTGTAATCTTTTTCATATGCAAACACAGTATTTTTCGAAACTCGGCTCAAAATAAAATAACAATCTATAAAATGTAAAAAATGTTCAGAGAATTTAAAAAGCTCCAGAAATTATAAATAGTTTTGCTTCGTCTCGTAATATAAATCTATTTTCTGTACGTAATAAGAATATGCCTAGCATTTCACGTCGATGGTACTTAAAGGCAATAGACCCTTAGCTTTAATTGGGACCACGTCGATTCCCTTGAGTGTTTCGCGCAAGTTAAAGGTTCCCTTTACAGCTTTTAGAAGAGGTCATTATTAAGATTCATAAAGATCGCCCGATAGCCTTTGCGCTAACAAACAGTCCAAAAGTCTACCGCTCACTAAATTATTATTATTATTACAGGGGTTTATTGTTGATACAAGGAGTAATGATTTTTTAATATTCATTGGTTTCGCTTTGTACGAACTGTTTTCTGTGTCGAGTTTAAGCGTTCAAATGCTTTTGATAACAGATTGGCCAGTACCTCTACTTACTTCCGTCTGTAGTCTTCGAGCTTTTTAACTCGTAACTTATTAATAATAATAATAATGTATTTACTACATTTGTGTAAAAAAAATCAGGTTTGGTTTAAAAATTAAGTCCCCATGTCAGAAGAAGCCACTGTTCCGAAACTAAGATATAATATCTTAATAAACACCTTGTTTCATACAAACAACATTCTAAATCACAACAAAATTACCAGTTTTGCATATGTTATATTGAACAACAATTTGTGAAACCAAAGGATTGTTGTCACGTGATATGATGAATCGAACCCACAACACGTCACTAATTACAGACAACGTGCCGACTTTTTGAAAAATTACTCGCCACTATGCAAGACAACCTCCGTTGTAAAGTCTAGTAACGTTCTGTACGTCGCGGTAACGGTTTTCCTCTAGAAAACCATCCTCGTTACGACGCACCGTGTAACTCAAAGCACTTCCAAAGTAGATCCATCCATCGCCGCGATCAATAAGGCGATAAATCGAAGCCAAGTGGCCCGCGCTCGCCCGCAGCATCCGTTAAGAGGCGAGACGTCTCTCGCGTTACACCTCCGTCGTCCGTCCAGCGCACTCGAGCGCGCGGTACGTTCATCGATTGATTTCTGACTAGCGACCCGCCCCGGCTTCGCACGGCTGCAACGCTGAATGTTTGCTTTCGACATCGCATTAGAAACCTCTAAAATTATCAGTGTTTCTCTACTACATTATGCATGAATTATACGTATAAATCTTCCTCTTGAATCGCTCTATCTATTAAAGGAAACCGCATCAAAATCCTTTGCGTAGTTTTAATGATCTAAGCATACATAGGGACAAACAGACAGCGGGACTTTGTTTTATACTATGTAGTGACGTAGAGTAAATCTCAATGGTATTTCAGTGGCGTTTCTCGTCCCTAATTTTCGATGTCAATCCCCGACGTTTATCCCCAGACAACCCCCCTCCAAAAATAGATAAATAAATATGATAAAGAATGTTTCTTTCCTCATCTATAATGAACAGAAGCACGTGTCCTAATCAAAAGGTTCGGTGATATTAAAACGCTCGAAACAAAATACAAACGACGCTTATTCCGTCGACACTAGGGCATTGTGCGAGGTCTCCCCTCGCGAGGAGAGCGAGTCTGCGAACGGGGGAGCCCTCGGCACCCGAAACAAATCCGGGACTCCCTAATTGGTGGACGCGTAATCATCCGTCAAATGCAAACGAAATTGTTTCCATTTCGTTTACAGTCATCCAGATAAGTACGGCGGCGGTTTCGCTTAATTGGTGCGTTTGGAATAGGGTTCTATCGATCATGCATATAAGTATTCCTTTTTTTTATTGGAAAGGTTACTAGCAGGCGGTTCACCCGACGTTAAGTGATTACCAAAAAGATTATAGATGCTTTGTAAAACCTTTAAGAAAGTCGGGTTCCGTTAAACAAAACGTCCTTATGTAATATATACTTGCACTTCACGTCAGTCTTTTTGCCGTGGTACTTCCGAGTCCACCCATGTAGGCACACAGAACCTGATGCGTGAACCCTATCACAATTATTTATCTATTGTGTATAATAGCCGGTGCCAATAAAAATTTTGTTGCAATTTAGCGCTATCTCATCACGTGCTCAACGGTGAAAGAAAATATCGAAACAATAATTTAAGAATAAAACTAAAGTTTGCATCTCTGCCAATCCGCAGTGGGGTCGCATAGTAATCGACCGTCCCTAATGCTCTCTGTACAGAGGCGGCCTTTGCCCAGCTGTGGGACATATACATACAAACTGCTACTTTATTTTTTATTTACTTTAATAGGCGTTGATGGTAGGAGGAACATGAATAATGTGTTAATTTTGCGACGACAAAGAAACTAAGTTCTAAAAAATGATGACAGTATCGAACAATTTTCAAACTGCCATTACGCCATTATCTCAGATTACTTAGAATTAGAAGTTACATATACATTTTATCATAAGCAAATCTACTTCAATTCACCGCAATAAAATTCCGCTCAGCCGAATCCCGCTCTAATCAAAACAATAACCGCCCGTCACTCCACGACTCTGACTGCAATAAACAAACAGCGATACGATCGCGTGACATGCGTCGTAACGATTTCATCGCTCGTCACCGTTGACGGTCCACCGCGGGCGACCCTTGGCAGCGGCCGTGCGAAACGCGCAATGGTTTTGGCACAAACGCGAAACCACACGAGGAAGTCCGCGTCGCAGTCTCACCCCACTGAAAGAACGGGGTGTTTCTTTCGACGGTCGTTATCGCTTCCTGTGTTGCTTCGCAATCGCTACAGGAAGTGTTTATAGCATGTTCGACGACACGTCGGCTCTGTAGTAACGATTCCTCTTCTTAGTTCAAACTGTATTTTACAAATTACGCACGAGCAAATTGTGATAAGTGCTTACCGCCGTGAAAAGATGTGCTTCCGGTTACGAAACGCTACGATAGAAATTGCGATATAGATCTGCTTCACGCCTGTCTTCTTCCGGTCCGTTGTACTTGCGTTTTTAGAGTATATCTGGTTCATTCTACGAATGGACAATGGACTCATCCCATGGTAACTGAACACCGTCACTCATGCAGAAGCACGGGAATTGTAGATAAGAATTTAGTACACTCCCTTCGAGAGCGGCAGAAGCTAAAAGATTTGTGCTCCCCTTATAAAGACGAGACTTTTAGTCAAAATTTCGCTGTATTTCCTATATTGACAGTAAACATAGTTGTCTAGTTTGTTTATGCCTTTGCTTTTGAGGAAATAAATTATGTTCGCCCAACGACTTGGGTGTTGTTTTTCGATTGATAAATCTCGCGACGTGGGCAGCGGAAATGACGACACAGAGGCACTAGGCCCACGCTCAGCACTCCATAGCTTAAGGGCTTACAGACATTGGAAAGACCGCTGTAGAAAAGACCCGAATGAGTTCAGAGTGAGAGCCCTACACTAGTTTTCAGATCATTACTCATCAAAAGAGTTTTCTTTTGAAACATTTTTTAAATGGACTAAATTAGGGTGGATTGCTGGTTCCTGGTAATCAGATGTAAAAGAACTATTCGTACTCCAAGCACTTTAACAACTAATTAAAACTAGATCTTAATAGAAGCAGTACCGATACACTCATCCAAGTTGATCAGGTCTGTTCTGGTTGTTGATTGACGGTAAGACCTTCGCCTATAGGTGATAAATTATTTTTCGTAATTTTTTCAAGAGTCGAATCAAGAATCATGTCTTTCCTTTTTTAAATCAAAAGTCAACTTTAATTATGACCGTTTATGGTATTTTGCATTCTGAAACTGGGTATGGAATCCATGCTTAATTATTTGAAATTCTGTCGCTATTCAAGACACTCTCTTTTTCCTCTGCTATTAGGTTATTGCCGCAATTATTTCAAGGGTCATAAAGGTTCTCTCGTTTACCCCTAGAAGAATGGACAGAGTGCGATAGTGATGTTGCAAATGTCGAAAGTGAAGACTGCGATTGATCGTGCGTCTCTCGTTGCTATGAAGTAAACATTCGGCGATTATTCGAGTCGAGAATTGAATACTCGATTCTACGACACTCGTACACAACACACACAAGCATGTAGACATGCGCGTACTCCATGCACATCTAAGTACCGCCCGAAAACCATATCACTTTCAAGAGCCCCCGACTGGCTGGAAGGCTATGCACTCTTTAGAACCGTGAGCGAAAACATCGTCCAATATCGACTTTCTAAAACGCCACGAATACAACTATCGTGGTAACTGTACAATTGGCATTTTATAACTGTTACACAATCGATTGAATTCTTGTAATATTCGATTTGATATTGGATCGATCGATTCCAATTCGATTGAAATTTAATTTTATTGTCGCGCTAACTTGAAACTTTTTTCGATCGATGCTTTAAAGTTTTTTTCTGTTTTTCCAGGTAAGTGATACGGACATGGCGCGACCGTAGCGGAAGTGTTACGTTAATCAAGCGAACACCTACAGTGTTTACTTTAAAATGTGTAAGTTGGATGGACATAGCTCTTTTATCTCCCCTTTTTACTATTCCGATAGCTTTATTTCTAACGATAATAAGAGTTACCTATAGGAGTAAATGAGACATTTCCTACATTAAGTATTTCACGTGATTTTTTTAATCGAACTTTCATTAATGTTATATACATCGCTTTCATCGTTATTGCTAAATAACGTGACAATTCTTCTATAGAACAGTATACGTTACAATCATTCGTTTGCAATTTCGTTCTTATTTATACTTTAAACTGAATGAAACGAGAAAAATGCTTTACTGCCAGTAAAATAAAACTGTCTGGTGTAAAGTAAAAGCGCTTCGCTAAAAACAAAACGTAACGATGGAGCCGTCAGACCGACAAAGGGAAGGTGACCTTCAGCAAATTGAATGGACCAACTGGGTGGGTTTTAATCCTCTTATTGAGTGGCAGCGGGCGAAGCGGTGCGCCTTGTCCCCTCCTCCCACCCTCTCCCTCCTCTTTCGTTGCGTCGATTGGCGCAGACGCCATATGGGGCCACGACTCAGGCGAGTTGTGGGTTCGATCCAGAACGGAAAATTTACGTGAGCCACAAACCGCTGCCTCGAACACGCGCTCTCTTGGTGTCAGGAAGTTTATGCTCTTCAAATCTCCCGCGAAGATTTCTATGCTTCTGGGAGCCCACTTATGATAAATAATTATTATTATTGCAGAAAGCACTAGGTTGGTCTCACGAAAGTGCTCTGGAAATTTTAACTCTGGTTAATTTTAATCTTATGGGTAATGTCTTCGCGACGGTAAATTTGGAGAAAATCGAAAAATTGCTCTCCACCAAAGCTGCCAAGTATTACGGTCCACTGTGCGGTCGTCTCGTTCCTTGCTCGGGGTGCTTTTTGCGATGCGCAATTTCGAAATTTATGCGCACTCGCTGACAAATGTGTGTTGTATAGGCCACGCAAATTGATTAAAAATGCACCACTGGGCCGACATAACGTCGCCCTGCCAATGTCCAAGATTATCTAAACTATTAAAGGAAGATGGTTTATTTTGTTTACAGGAATCACCATCTCCCGCCCGGGTATTTTACTCTTCTTCATATTATGTGTGAAGCCGCTAATGATTTCGGTCTTAATATTATGTACATGTAAAGAAATCTGTTTGTAATATAGTATAGCGTCTCTATATAATATTATTTCTCAAAGGTGTTGTTTTCGGCGACGCCATGATTCTTCATCAAGTTTAAATAATTCAAACACCATTTTAAAGCTTTTGTTTGCGGGTATTGGTGGAGAATAGACAAGTAGAATAAAGTTAATGCTTTAACAAAATTTCTTATAAAGAGTGTATTGCGAAGTAGACTGAAATCTTTCATATATAAATGTATCATATATGTATGTACAAACTATGATATTACTTATTATTCGATGAATGATCACGGCTCTAAGAAAGTTTAGTAAATACAGTTGCAATTAAAGTATTACGTCCATTAATACTGCCTACCCCTGACAGGCGACTGTCGAGGAATCTCGCTTCACTGTTATAGCTTTGGTGGCTCTATTTCTTTCTAGACCTACGCTTGACCTACCCTTTGGCTGATATACAAATTGGCAACTGTCACCGGCTCGCCGGTCATGTCGATACAATCTAGCTGATGAAAGGGTTCCGTGATTACGTGTTCTTAAGTGTTCCGAAACGGCTGTGGTCCATATAAATTTTTGGACGCCACATACATAACATTTTGTTTGTGTACACGTCAAGGTATTTTTTTAATGTGTTTGCATGTGTTTCATTAGTCGTCATGCAAGACTCAACTAGATGGAGAGACAGCTGGCATAATATTTATAGTATATATTATTAGCTAATACTTATATTATTAAGTGCAGAGATTAGCACTATAAAAAAGATTAGCACTATAAAAAATTTAAATTTATAAGAAGCAATGGCGACATCTCTCGTTCGAATTATCGTTGGAAAACGATATTCGAAATTGTTTGTATGCGGGAAAGGATATAACAATGGATGCGCCAAGCATTGCTTCAATATGCTAAGAAACAATGTAGAAAAAGACGTTAAGATTTTCGTCGGTGTGGCAATCAGCCGTTTAGCTCAGTGGCTAGAGCGTCAGGCCGCGAATGCCGAAGACGTGGGTTCGATTCCCACAGCGGCGACAATCTTTTCGTACTTTTTCTACAAATTTTAACAGCTTGCGTAATGCTTAGGGGAAGACCTATACGTGTATATATATTCCAACAAAGAATATATAGCAGTGGAATTAAAAGGCTGTAATGATAATGACGATGTCAAATAATAAATTAAGTTCTCTGTATAGTATAATAGTTATATGGGACTTTTACAGGCTTAAAAAAGTTTGGATGTAAAACATTTTCTGCTAAAGACATGCATGGCAAGGATTTGAATAGACTGTAATGGTTACATAACATATTTTTGGCTTCAGGTGTATGCGACTTTACAGTCGGTTATGATTAGAAGCTATTTTTTTTATAGATTAATCAAGGCGTGCAAGGCAAAATAAACTCTTCTTAATACAAATAGTCCATTGAAGTTTTTATACAAGAATGGAATAAATAAACCTCCACTTGCGACATTGTATTAACCTGATTGTGATTTGAGGGCAAGTTTAAACGATATATATGTTTTATTTTTGCTTGACCTCTTATTCTAAATAGTGGACAATCCACGCGATGTCACTATTATTTTTTGCTATAAAAACATGCAATTGCTATGCATAGATGTCTCGATGATGACATAACTATTTGCACGGTTTAAAATTAAGTCTAAAGTTTTCCATAAAAAGAAGAATAACACAGTATTTTTAAAAATAAAGTAAAATGTAAATTATAAAAAAAAGAAAAATCGAAGAATTCTCCTGACAATAAAATTTATGGAGTAGCAATGGACTTTACAAAAACTAACGTAACAAAAAGTATTAAGTAATATATAAAAAAGAAACACGTGTAGATGCGTTGCACGTTTATTAAGTACGAATTCATGTGTGTCTGAATTTTGTTTGTGTTTAGCCTCGGAGTTTACGAAACATGCCGCCGAGAAGCTTGTTTATCTATGGCGTCACCCACGTTTGTTATTTTTCTTTGGGTCCACCTGATGTTAAGTGATAACCGCCGCCCATGGACATTTAGAACACCCGTAGGGTTGCAGATGCGACCTTTTAACAAAGTGAGCCCCGGCACCTACCTAATGGCATGATAAGGCCACACAGGAACAAGTCAAGTTGTGGTTCAATATTCCACATTCTCAAGTTTAAATAAGAATAGAATTCGTTGCTTAATTCCAACGTGTATGCAGTCTGAATACTAAATTTCATTGAAATGGGTACATACTATATTCACAATACTAATGCGATTATTTCGTGCTATTGGGTAACCGGGGAAATTATCCGGGTCGGTGAATTAAAAAAAAAAAATACACAAGTGTTTTAGCAAATACGATCTTTCGAAATGGGCGCAAGCATTTAGAAAGTATTATATTATAGCCGTACAACGTGGCGCGCCTGAGGACGAGCATTGTTAACGCTCTAGATGTTTGTGATGGTTCCGAAAATTTCTCGTTAGCGGGACACCGCTCGAAGACACTAGCGTTCTATTAAAACTACACTCACAACTAGAACCCAGTCCATACTGCGACTGTACACGTTAATATAGACCACCAATCGTTATTTAGTTATTTCAACACGTATAGGAAAAGAAATTATTTTATACTAGCTACTGCCCGCCTCTACGTCTGCGTTGAATAGGCTGAAGGCATAACATTCAGACAGAAAGACAATTATACATCAAAATATGTATATAAATTACTGGTATAGCCTATGTGTTATTCTGATGTATAAGCCATATAATTGTAAAGTTTCATTAAAATCCATTCAGTAGTGTTTGCGTGAAAGAGTAACAAACATCCATCCATACATACAAAACTTCTTATAATATTAGTAAGGATATTAGCAAGGATATAGTGCAATAAGACGAATTCCCGGTTACGATCGAGAAGAGAAGTTGCTGCACGATTATTAGTTACTCCTAATAGAAGTTGATAAATTTATATATATGTATCAACTTCTATTAGTAGTACATTTAAAAACATTTATTGTTTTACACCCCAACTTAAGGCCAAACAAAAGTCAAACTTAATGCTAATAAACTTTCTTTTCCAGTCAACTCTGGGAGTCAAATTCCTCTTATATGTATGTGCAGTTGTTGAGTTGATTAATTTATTTGCGAGTCGTGGGTATTATTTCCACCGGCGATAAGTATACACGGATAAGAATATAAATTAGTAAAAATATTTTGTGTTAAACACTGTGATTTTCTAGTACCTGAGCCATATTTTTCAATATTTATTTATTGTAATCAACAAGTTACGCTTTATCGGGACTTTTCTTTGAATTTAATATTCTTGATTAAGAAGGTAACGACAACTTTTTAAAGCTAGAGCTGTAAAAAAAAACCATTCCGACATATAAGAACACTGAATCTGAGATTTTGAACGAGGAGGAAACGGAATCTCCATTGTTATGCAACTTGTGGCGACTCTCTTATTACAAAAGTGCCTCGTCCGTCCGCAATCCGTTCCGCCGGGGTCATGAACAATTAGTTTGAATAGCGAATTGTGACGTCACCCGGTGAAAGTAAGAAACCGATCTCATCGCAATTGAGACTGTAAATCTACGCTTGTTTTTTGTTTTTCAGATGCATCATCCAATTTACAGTATTTTTTTATTTGAGTACGTGGCAAGCTAGCTGGCGATTCACCTGATGTTAGGTGATGACCGCCGCCCATGGGCATTTCTTTCTTTCTTTTTTTCTTTTTTATTTCTTAAAACATTGCCCTTACTTTAGGATAACATTATCCTGTCTTGTAAGAACGTTTTACAGACATTAATTTCAACGTCAATACCGTGGCAACTGCGCCACGGAGTAGTGTTTGCAACATCCCTAGGGTTGCAGATGCATTGCCACCTTTTAATAAATTGGACCCTTCCTACCTCGCTACAGACGAAACGCGAAAGAATAACACTTCTACTTCACGCAGAAGTATACACTTTTACTTCACGCCAGTCTTCTATTAGGTCGAGGTACATCCCCGACGGAGCTGCCCATTCGTACAACAGCGAAGACTGTTACGTTAGCCCCACCACAGTTTCTTGGATTAAGTCAAACGGAGGCTCACATGAGCCGACGCGCCCATCAATGGCCATCACTTGTTTGTTCTGTTTTCTTTCTTTGTTCTTGCCTCCTGCTGATTAAAAAAGCCACGGCGGTGCTCAGCGAATGCGGAGTGGTCGGTCGATCTTTCGCTCTTTTATGCGCCCATAAAAAAAAACGCAGTTGGCATTATCCACGCATGTCTTAAGATTCGCTCTGCACATATCCGTCCGACGGGATCGTGGGATCTGTCCGGCGGACTGTTTTTTTTTTTTTACGTGAAAAGTTGCCAAGCGAGCAGACGGTTCGCCTGATGTTAAGTGAATACCGCCGCCCGTGGACATCTGCTACACCCTCGGGTGCCAGATGCGTTGACAACCTTTTGAAAATTGGGCTCCGGCAACCTCAGTCACACTTCCACTTTACGCCGGTCTTCTGTGAGGTCGTGGTACTTACCCGGACGGGCCTGCCCATTCGTACGACAGCCGAGGCTGCTGCGTGGCCCTACCACCGTGAAGTGTTACCGTTTATTTTTAAAATAAAACAACGACAGTTTTGCAGTGCCCTTAAGTTCGTCTGATTAGTTTACAATTTAAATGATGAGTATGTTAATCTTCATGTAATATTTATATAATTATGTTATTCTTCTGTGCTCTTCATGTACACGCATATGAATGAACTCCTCCTAAAAGGATGGACAGATTTTGATAATTTTTTTTTTTTTGCGTGTATTCAAGTGGATTCGAGAATGGTTTAGATTCACGATACGGTCCACTGCAAAATGTTTTTAATTATTTTATTTAAATATTTTTTTATTTATACGTTGTTGTCGTGTCCCCTAGTCTTTATATAATTCTTTCGAACGTGTGTATGTCACTGAACTCCTCCTGAACGGCTGGACCGATTTTAATGAAATTTTTGTGTGTCTTCAGGTCGATTCGAGAATGGTTTAGATTCACAATTCGGTCCTCTACATTTTTTTTATATATAAATTGTCCAATTTAAGTCGTTCTACTTTTTTCCGTAGTTCCAACGGCAATGACAAAAAATCCACGGAGCGAAGCATGTCCGAGTTCAACTAGTAATCGTTATTGTTTGTAACTAATTTATAGGCCTCTTCGTACAAATCTTTGTCGAATCGTTTGGTTAAAGTGTTAATCAATATTTTTATTGGTTGGTCGGTTTATATTTTATTTGCTATTTTTAATACAATTTTACCGAGACGAAAGCACAGCTTACCAACACTTCATTTAAGAAAGTCGGGCTCTAATATAGGACATACACAAAATATTATTGCTTCTAGAAATTGACGTTTAACTAACTTATCATCGATAATACTTCAGAGACATCAGGACTTTCGAATTATCGTCCTATTTTTTACTTACTCGCAGACACGGGCGAGTTGATATATACGCGGCAGGCGCGGGAAAGAATTCCTCGCTCGCGCGCTGAATCCCCAGTTATGGCGGAATGCGTCTATTACGGTAAGGTGGCGGGCGGGTACGCGTTCGCAATGGCGGACCGCCAACGGTACTCGCGAGGTTCGATCCGTTTGATGGAGATAAGTTGCACCTGTCGCCGGGGCGGCCCCGAGCGGTCTCATTTGAATTTCGAACAGTCCCGATACCCCCAACCGGTGTGGCTGCCGTTTAGTAAACGGCCCGCGGGCGTTCTCAATTGCAAATCAACCCGCCCGTACTCGAGACTGTCCCGTGTTTTGTGACGTGTGTTCACCATAGTCTCGAGGTTAGCTGTCTCATTATACGCGCCGTGCCATTATTCTTATATAGCAATGGCCCCCCCTACGAAGGTTATTGCGTCAATAGTGGAGCAGATATGAATTCGTAACGGACGTTTAATCTAAAAACTTTGTTACTGATTTTCCCGTTAGATACTGCTGTATCTTATTTAGCGTAAATATGACATTTTTATTTAGAAATATCGAGGATCAAAGCTCGTCTTAATGGCGATTGACGATGCCGCTAATGACGAACAGTCAATCACCTTCAGATTCCGCTCTCCATTCCATCTTAATCGGCCGTCATGTGTGTGACGAATGTTGCCTCGCGATATTCCGATGCTGGAATCAATTAAGGCCCCCATAGCCTCCCAAGTCTGCGTTCGAACGGACGTCCGTTTTCTGGGTCAGGCGACGCGGCTCGCACAGATCGGCGGGCCGTTGCGAATTTCTGAACGTCGAATCTGTTATTCTTTTTTTTTTATCATTCGCATTCGGAACAGCGGTGTTCGGATTCTCGTGTGCCAGTCAGGCTAACCTTGGAGCGCTTCTATATAATTGATCGTTCGACATTTAAATAATCATTCGAGTCGAATCTTCTAGTTCCATTGTCTCTGGCAATCGCAACCGCAATTAAAACGTTATCGTCGCTGATAATTGTTTCATAGGAAAGGTTGAGGCTGATGGCTTATCTTGGTTTATTTCTTTCGCTATTCATAAGCAGATGTGATGACGTTAATGCTATCATAATTTGCATCGCGCTCTGCTTTTTGGTTAATAAGTTAATAATTATGCGATAGGGAGAGTAGACATGTTGTGCTTTCTTTTGTGCATACGTATAGTTATCTCTTTTCATTACTTATAGTATTCAACGAGTAGGCGAGTCAACCGGCCGTGCAATGGATATTAAACCGTTTTCTATAATTCACTGCAATCGAGTGGAAGTTGGCCGATGAAACTTTATCTAATTTCTAATATTGAAAGTTTATACACATACACACAAAGTTTATATACAGTAAGTACAACAGATAAGTTTTTGCTGTTGCAAGAATTGTTACGCTAGCCTGAAGAAGATCGTCCTATATGACTTATTAGTAAAGTTATTTGCGACTTGTTTTATTTGAAGTTTAGAATAATTATCATAGATTTAAGACTATCGTCATCTTTGTCGCACCGAATATCCCTTGGACGTAGTGACACTAGCAGCTAGGCGCGATATGAAGCCCACGCCGAAACCCACAATTATTTGCAAAACCTGTATGTATTCTTTAATGTTCCACCATTAAATGGTAGCAACTACAACCTCTCGGTTGTTGCGGATATCCATCGAGGTGTCAAAATAAGTAGGGGCTCTGTATTTGAACGCATCTTTCGAAACTCTATCGCGTCAAACGAGACCACATAAAATCACGTGCAATGGGCGAACAAATTCACGCCGGGCCATCGGGTTCCGCTAAATCGATTCGCGACGAAAATCGGCCGGCCGCGGCGCGCTAATCCGCGGCGGCGGCCATGGCCGTGCCGGAATGTGGAGTGCGCGACTCCAGCCGCCGCTCCGCTGCTACTGGAAGCGGTACGGTGTTACTGGGCACATGCTTTTTTTTAAAGGACCCTCTGAACTGCCAGCCTTTTTTTTTATTTAAAAAATAAATGTAAACGTTGCTGCCAGTCTGAAAATCGAATGTATTTTTGTATTATGTCAGTGATTCGTTCTGAAACTTTTAAATTGTTACAATGATGTGACAAACAAAATTTGTTGATGATCTTAATACTGATTTCGTACAAGTGATACACCGTATTGATATTTCTTCTTTCTCCTGTCCATATCCCGCAATGAGAGGTCGATATAACATTTTGAATTGTATTTTAAACTTTTAGATTTTTACGACCGGCCTCCGGTCAGACATCAAGCTTCCTTGGGAGAAAAAATAAATACTTGTCTAGTGTGGGAATCGAATCCACGATTCCGGCGCTTAAGCCATTAGCTTTGCAAACACGCCACCGAATCAGGTTATTAAACTTTTGAAGTTTGTTTATGCGTAGCAATCTCAATTATGGGCATAATAACATTATTATATTTTTTATTTACGGTTTATATACATATATAAAGCTTAAAATTTCATCTCTACAAGCGATTAGTTGAAGTGTATCTCCCGCAATACCCATTGGCATCCGGAGACCGTTCCGTTATTCCACGCAAACTATTGTCGTCATCCTAATGGGTGGACGGAGACGGGCGCGAACGCTAGCTCGTATACAATAGCGTTTAGTATTTAGCTGCGCGCGTAAAAAGTGCAGGAGAGACGGCGCCACGGTGCAGCGCGTGTATTTTTAGTCCGGACGAAAATAGCGACCGCTTCGAACCCGCTACCGTCCGCGGCGGTGCCCCGGGCGAGACAGACGATGCTCACAGACACAAACGGTCCGTGCCACTTGTTTCTTTTTGCTCGTTCGTTGTAAAGGAATGTGTTAGACTTGGTTAAAAATCCGCCTAGTGCGAGTGGGCCGCCCTTGAGGGTTCCGTAATGAAATTATATGATATATAAAAACTTACAATTGGTTCCGTACAAAAGTGCTAAATATATTAAATTACATTATATATAAAAAATTTAAATTAGATCTAACCCTTCGCTTTTACTGAATATCTGGCTTATTGTGAACGAGGTATGTCCACTCATGATTGTAAGTTACCTGTATGTATTTAGGTTTACATGACAGAGAGTATATGAGTTTTCATTTACATAAACGGCCCTGACTTCGGTCGAGTTCTAACAAGCTTTAATATTTCGGTGGAAATATTACTGTTGCCGTTTTATATAACTTTGTTCCTTTGATACTTTATACATAAAAAATTGTTTGCATTATAAATAGCTGCTTCGAGTCACTGTGAGTGTGTCTTGGGTCCGTCGCGTCACAGGCATGACTTGCTATAGCAGAGAGGATTCGTCTGTTAGAAAAGAAAGAGAAAGAAAAAGACGCGTATAGTGATTGTCTTAAGCAAGAGCTTTCTTTGTAAACGCCGTGGATCGAAGAAGAGTTCAGAACGTTTATAATATCGACCGATATTAACTTTCAAGTTAGCAGTGACCGAAAACTTCATAAACAACTTGGAACAATACTTTTGTTGTTGGAACACTTTCCAACTTTTCCCATGCAGATTTCTTATTGGAAAACATTTACTTGTAGGGTATTAATTTTATAATCACAGTGCTATAGTTTTGATAAAAATCTTCGAACTTTGCTATTTGGCACGGCTAATTTAACTTGTTTTTCTGATAATCCTAAGCGCTAGATGAGCTATAATTTCCGCTATTTCGTAAAGTTCTTAAAATGAGAATCCCATCCAGAATCGCTAAACGTTTAGCCTTTCACCATATAGTATGAATCCAACAGTCATCAGAATACTTCGCATGTGGTCAAACTTTCAAAAGACCATTAAGATTCCTGCTCAATTAGTCAGCAGCTGTGTGGCTTTAAAAAAAAATTTTTTTTATTTTATTTCTTTTTATTATTCGGTCCGAGACATAGTTTTGGAATTTAAAACGAGTTTACTTTTCTTATTGCGGGGAATTCTTTACCGTCAAGTGACTAAGTTTATGTTTTGGAATGTGTACAATATGACTTTTAGTTTCACACCATTTATCACACCACTGACAACTTAGCATACCAATCATCTAACCATTTTTTTTTTCTTTTTTTTTTTCTCACATTGCCCTCACTTTAGGATAATATTATCCTGTATTGCAAGGACGTTTTACATAGGTACGTAAATTTCATGTGGACAAACACCCAGATGCGAAACAACTATCTGTGGGGTCACACAAATAGTTGTCCCGTGTGGGAATCGAACCCACGACCCCCGACGCCGAAGCCAATACCTTGACGACTGCGCCACGGTGTCACCAAAGTTCCTTTAACCAAAGTTACTTAGCGGGATGAACCTAACTGAGTAGCCATCTTACTATGTCATTTCCCTAAAAAATATAAAATAATTAACCGGTGGTTGCACACGAGCTTAAAAGAAGGCTCAATTGAATGAAGATATATTATTTTGTATTTACGATTTAACATTGCATCATTTAAAGTGCCTTATTTTATACAAACGCTAATGTTTTCTTTGTAAAGCGGTCTTTCTCACAAAAACTATAATATACATTACGAGATTGTATGTAAGGTATATTACATAAATATAAATAGTATATACTAAGTATATAATAAGTATAATATAAATAGTAAATAGTATATATATGTATATATATATATATATGTATATATATATATATATATATATATATATATATATATATATATATATATATATATATATATATAAACTGTAACACACTATTCACGAATACTGTTTATTAGTGAATAGTGTGTAGTATTTTGACAATCAATAAGTTTAACGCCCAGTTTCTGAAAGACTGATCATCGTAGAAATCAGCTGTCAAATGGCTCTTCAAATTTTATTTGAGTTGCAAAATTGTTAAACTCTCTGATTTGATCAGAATGATCTTCTTAATGTTCAGAATCAGTTTAACAAGCCTTTGGGCAACTCAAATAACATTTGAAAAGCCATTTGACAGCTGATTTCTACGATGATCAGTCTTTCAGAAACTGGGCTGGATAATGTAATTTTATTATATAATATAATGTCATTTCCAACATACACGATTTACCAAAAAAAAAAAAAACAAACCCTCAAAAAAAAAGGTCCTCCGGGTACTATATATAAGCCGTCTTATTGACAAAGACTATGTTATATATAAATAGATACCTATAACTAATAAATTTTAATTCATAAATGTCGGCATAATTATTTTATCTATAATGGAGAGTTACTTCATGCAAATTACACTGGATCAGAAAGCGTGGCGGTCTTTGGAGTGGGCTTATATTAAAAAGCGACCTTCATTTATTTTTATAATAATACTAATGTATGTGTAGGTAAGTGGCACAAACTATGACGCGTGTGGCTCAGG